GAAGGGCTGTCGCGGGAGAAGGAAGTTTCCCGCCCCCCCTCTCACCCCCAGCTCCGCATCTCGGCTCCCCAGAGGCACTCCTCTGTCAACAGGACCTTTCCAGAAATACCCCATGCGTAGACAAACAGAAACGTGTTTTGTGCGTATCAGGGTTTCTTCCACATACGTATCCTGTCCTTTGTGTTTTGTTTGTTCATTTTCCCCCCACGGAACAAACCAACTAGGTTTGTTTTTATGGGGGAAGTTGGTGGGAAGGAGAAAACTCCAAACAGTGAAGTTCAGAGTCGCCTCCGTGTGACCGGAGGGGGAGCAGGCGGGGAGGAGGCGCGGGAGCTCCGCCTGAATGGGACCGCTTGCCCACCTCTGCTCGGGGAGCCCCGGACTCATCCCTCTGGGAGGCTCAGCTGACTCCTCCTTTCAGAATTATCATAGTGCTGCCTTCCTGTTACGAAGCCGGTCTGCAAGCAGCAGAAAGCTCAGTCGTGCCGACTGAACCAGAAGGCTGTATTTTTTCTTCAGCCCTCTTGGTAGGAGGTCCAAAGACTGAGCTCCATGGTTCTCCTACCACCCCCTTAGCTGGGATGTTTGCAAGCGGGGGTACGGGGTCCTCAGTCCTCAGGATTCCTGGGGCTGCTAGCAGCATCTTGAGGGGAGGGCTCTCGGACGTTAAAGATCTTAGAAATGTTTGCTGCAGGCGGTCACAACAGGGAGTTATCCTGCTCCAAAGGGCAGCAGCCTTCACACTGAGAAACATCACCTCAGCTGCTCGAGCCTGTGTCACCTTGAGGGCCCTCCATCTCCCACGCTCAGGAATCGCGTCACCTCTGACACAGCAAGGTGGCTGTGACTGTTTTGGGCGCTACAGTAATGTGGCATCTTCTCATGGGAAAAAGGAAGCTCCCCGTGTCACCTCACTGGCTGGGTCACTTGCTCGGTCCTGAACTCCCTGGGCAGGGAGGGGGTTCCTCCTCCATCGGATGGAAGCTGTGCTGGAGGAGAGTGGGGTCGGCCTGCTCTGAGATGGAGGCTGCTGGGGGGGAGGCGTGGGACACCAGTGACAAAGGGAGAGGGAAACCGTGTGCTGGCCCGGCTAGCCCCAGGCCAACTACAATAGTCAGAGGCTGCCTTAGGGATCCTGGAAGGAGGTGCCATGTGCTCCCTACACTTGCACACCCCTCCACCTCCCCAAGACCTCTGTGTGGCGGAAACGTTCCTTCCGGCAGCCCCACTGTTAACTCCCACTCCTTCCCAGAGGCTTTCCCGGCCTCCTCGACCAGGCTGGAGCTGCCTTCTTGGCACCTGCCACAGGAGCTGACTGTCTTGTACAGTTCTCTGGTTAATCTTGGTCTCCTCCAATATATTTCGCGTGCCACGGGGGTGGGGACTTTTAACGATTCCATCAAAGAGAAGAGAGTGGAACAGCGCTGGGCCCACGCCACCGCAGGACCTGCTCCCTGGGCCCGTCCCCGCCCTGGAGTGGACACAGGTCCTCATAAGGCTGGAGCCCAGGAGGTCATCACGACCTTAAAACCTTTGTGAAATCCTATTTCACATTTAAAGTAGTTTGCAAATTTTGGATTTCACTCCATAATATGTCAGTATTTACTTAACTGTAAAGTGTCTCCTTCCCCCAAATCTTGGAGTTGTTCCAAGAGGAAGACAGGCCAGCTGTGTCTGGTGCCTCCTTACAAGTCCCCAAGTTGAAATGCAATTACGGCGTTCCTCACTGGCCTGGGGAGGACCCGAAAGACCCCAGGCGGTGGATCCAGCATCAGCAGGCCCTTGCTACAAATACTTTGTGCCGCACCCCAGACCTACTGAGTCCGAAACTCCGGGGTGGGGCCCAGCACTGAGTTAGCACAGCCTCTCCAAGGGACGCTGACGCGTGCTGAAGTTGAAGAACCTCCGACTTAGAGGCGGGCACAGCCTTCAAAACGAAACAAAACAAAAACAACCAGAAAGCACTTTCAGCCGTCCCCCCCAGTCACCCGGTTCGCATCCCCGGGAGGGCCGGGGACGAGCGGCGGGTCCCAGCTCCCGGGGCGGGTGCGCGCGGGCCCCTGTGCGGCGGCCGGGGC